CTCCCTCCCTCCCCCTCTCCCCCCCTCCTCCTCTCCCTCCCTCCCTCCATCCCTCCCTCCCTCCCTTCCTTCCCTCTCTCCCTGCCTGTTTTTAAATCAGGTTTTCCTTTGCATACCTTCAGCGTGCGAGGCCAAAGGCCAAAGCACACATTACCTTTCAACATCCTCAGGCCGCTCTCATTAGCAGCAGTTTGCTTCAGTGCTTGCTCCACTTGCTCCCGTCGCTTGGATTCAAATTCCAAAGCTTCCTGCAGTTTTCTCTTGGCTTTTTTCTCCTTCTTCAGGCGCTTTTGCATGGTGGCTACAACGTGAAAGGGAAAGAGTTGGCAAAGGCTTGGCCAATCAAAGAAGAGTCGCCAGTTGTGATGGATTATGAACCACAGGCATTGACACAGAGTCAATCATCTGATTCGATTGTTTTGGTTCCAGTTGTCATTAGCTCAACCAAAGAGTGTTCAGTCGTAAAACCGACTTCTTTCTGCTTTGGCATTTCCAGCGTGTCCGCTGGTTAATACCCATGCACTTGCGTGGCGGTGGTAGTGGAGGTGAAAAATTGTTTTCTATTTTGACTAACAACACGCATTTAATGCAAGCATTACATGTTCTACAAATCTCTTAAGGAAGATGTTATTCATCAAGATACTGCTATTCATATCTTAAAATGTAAAAAGGAGAGAAAATATCACTTGGGTTGCAAAACATGCTATGTCTTTTAAATACAGTTTCAAGTGTCTTTCTCTGAGATGTTAGTGACTATAAGGGCATCTACCTACCTATCTATCTATCTATCTATCTATCCATCCATCCATTCTAAAGAGAATAATTTTCAGCAATGATGCTATTAAGCAACCTGGAAAAGCACGAGGGTATTATTTTGTAAGCAGAAAAGGTAATGAAGAGCTAGGGACCATACCTCAACTCTCAAGGTATGAAGAAAGAATCATTTGATATGAATCCCCAGATTATCTGTTGAGATGGCTCCACGTGACCAACCAAAGGACATTTTATGGACAATAAATGCCTTGTACCCATTTACTGATGAGGCCCCTCACATATTCTACACTAGGAAACACCTCAGACTGAGCTCCGGGCTTCCTGCCATCTGAGGTAACCACTGCAGGGAAATCCCAATGAAGTATGTCTACTAACAGACCGAGAACTGCCACCTTGGAGGAGAACTGCATAATTAGAGGCCTTATTTACAAAAAAATGGGCCTAACTGAGAACCTGGGAAGGGGCCTCGCTATGAATTTTAGCCTCTCCTTTGTCTCCCTGGAACACAAGTTGCTACGTGAATCTGTGTCTCATGGGCGGCAGTTCCTTTTGCTCCAATCAATTCTTTTTCTATTCTTATTACAGTCTAAAATTACTATTGGTTTACTATATCTTAATTAGGAACTTCAACTGCCTGAATGTATGCTTGTTTCTAAACTCTGAAACTTTGAAATCTGCAATCATTTCTCAAATAGAATTATTGGGTTCATACACCGACCTTCACATTCTCCATAAATCAGTTGTGAAAAATTAAGATATCGACATTGTAGCAATAGAAAAACTTCCAGGGAACATTAAGCAAAATGATAAATTAGATGGCATTTGAAATGTTAAAAGTATTCACATAAAATTAATATATTATGATTGAACTAACTATGGTGATAATTCGGGTTTCAGTGGTATTTATCTCACAGTTCAATGTCTTTTCATAGAAATGACCTTCAGCAACTTGAAGACAGTCAGTGACCCAGGTGAATTTATGGTCACTTGAGATAAAAATTCAGAGGTCTCAGGTAATAACAAAATGGAAATCTTGGAACAAAGATGCTGGGAATGCATGGTTTCTGTTATTTCTAAGGAAAGCCTATAAGTAAGGTGAAACATAAAAAGATTTTACTATTGTAATGATACTTAATTACCATCATTCAAATACAGCATTGCATGCAGTATTGAAATCAGAAATCTAAAATTTATTCAAAGTAATGTAAAGTAAGGTAAAGGATACCTTAATATCCTTACAAGACAAAATGTGGCTTCCAGTAAAAGTATTAGTTCAAACACATTCTATATGTTGAATCTCTTGAACAGTGTGATTCCATATATTGTCAATAATTCCACAGCATATAACATTTAAAATTATATAAATAAATAATAATTATCACTTATTTAGGGCCTAGTCTATACCGAGCATTTTTCTGCGACTCTTATCTCCTTGAAGCCGTGCAACAAACCGGCAAAGAAAACACTATTATCTCCATTTTCTAGTTGAGAAAACCGAGTTCTTGAGAGATCAAGTAATTTACTCAAGATTATACAGCCCATAATTTTCATAGCCTGAGGGTCAAAGATCGCATAGGTAGTTGTTTCACATCCTAGCGACCATATACTTGGTCCAGGACCAAAACAAGTAAGCTCCAGGTTCTGTTTTAGCTCTAGCATTCTATGATTCTAAGTGTTTAATCTGCAAAGAATATTATGATATATGTATGTACAGAGTTGGGCAAAAGTAAGTTTACAGTTGTGAACATGCTAAACACTAAGTTTATTCTGGTATTACTACCTATTTTTTAATTATTATGTTATTTATTTGTATTACTTGTTATTAATATTATTATTTCTTCTTTGTATCCTTGCTAGTGATCTACCTTTTAGGTAATGATGGCTGGTAATTTAACCGACTTTTGCTTATCCCTTTATATTTGTGTTTAATTCAAGTTACAGATTCTGGCTTACGACTGAAAGGCAGTTAGGCAGAATATTGACTTTGAGTGTAAAACACAGCCTCCTTTAATTAGAGAAGAGAATCATAGGAATTCCTACTATATATTCACAGTTTTCTACATGTTCTTTATATGTGTATCTTCATAGTTATTATTACTTCTACAGACTTGGAGAAATGGTACTTTGTAACCATAATACCAATTTTCCCCCTTTCTTTTCAGTCATATGACTTCAGGTCAAGAGTTCACTCTTTGACATAAAAAGTTGGGTGTAGTGAACATGAGATAAGCAGGCAACTAGAAAGGAATTTAAGTGATTGTCCAGTTCAACTACTGTAATAGATGAGGATCCTGTGATTCCATACTGTTGAAATAATTTCTCTAAATTAATGAGGATAATAGTTTCCTCTAATTATGTTAGTCATTAGATGTAAAATGTTAAAAAAAAAGTATATAGCACATACCAGACATTTGATACACATTAGCTAGTAGTAGTAGTAGTAGTAGTAATGATAGTAATAGTAGGGTATTATTACTATATTTTAATAAATGCTAAATTTATTAAATATAAATACTTTAGAGTAAAGTTGATAATAGATACAAAATTACATCTACCACGTCTAGGACTTTTTTAAGGACAAGAGATGTGATGGTAATTAGAAAGACAGACATGGATAGTCTATGACAAGTTAGTAAAGAGTAATCGGTAGGCCCCTAAAAGTTAGAAGCCAATTTTACTACATGTAGTAGATTTTCCTAGGTCAATTTGAGGATGTTATTATATTTAACACATGATTAGTTGGTTCGTTACTATAAAAATTTTCCCTACTAGAGGAATGTGTTTTTATGATACTAATCATCATAATCTATTTTGAATACCAAATACTAGAAATAAGCTAATTTCTCCAAAGTTTAGAAAGACAATTTGGCCTAGAAGTAGTTAATGCCTTTCTCAAGATAAAAAGAAGAGGTTTAATTCTTTCTAAATGCAATGACTGATTTTCCATTTTAAACTAGACCGATTCCTAGGCCCTAAAGAAAAGAGAAGCCTTCATTTACTTGACACAAAGTTCAGAATAAAATATGTTACTTTGGAATAATGGACAGTTAATGGATTTAACTTAGCTACACTCATCTTCCTTGTTGAGAGAGGCAGTGACTAGGTTGTATGTTTTCTCTCCCTTTCTTTGCCTTCCCTTCTCACTCTTGAACTCTTTTAGTTAATATTTGCTTTGTGATCCATTCATTGACGAGTAAACAGAGAAGGGATGAAAGCGGTCATTCTCAATAGCACTTTTGCTGCTGTTTGGTATGTTCTAGTAAATCTAAGAAAGAGGTGGATGATGCGAAAGTGAAGTTTTTAATTTTCTCTGGTTTTGACATGAACTAGTTTCAGTATCCATATTTGTAGATGATCAAATGTCTACCCATAGTTGGAAAGTTGATTCTATTTGTGAAGAATATTGCTCCACTCTCTTCCTTTTGTCTCCAGTCCTGCTTATGCTACCCTAATTCAGTCCTCGCCACCATTGCCTTGAAGATAGCACTCTCCTTCTACACAGTTCCCTCGTTTCCAGTCTTACTGGATGCCCCCTCTAACCTATTCCCAACACTGGCATGCTCTAGATACCTGGAATCAGACCTGGTCATATTCTTCTCCATCACCTCCAGGACAATGCCCAAGCCAATCTTTCACATGGCTAAAATTATCCTTCATAATTTAACTTCCGCCTCCCCATTTCGGCATCATCTCCCACAATGCACTTCATTAAACTCAAATGCACTGTCATGACAAATTATAAATAGTTGCCCATGTATGAGCAACTGTAGGGGGGCCTCTTGCCTCCATGCCTACAATCAATGAAACCTCTGTCTAGAGTGTCTAAATAACTCAGAAATTTTCAGGCCCTTTCTTAGCTTATTGATTCTTCAAGATTCGGGTTCAGTATCAGCGTCAGAAAGCCTTCCTCAACCATGTACGCACTCAGCACCTTCAAGCTGAACTAACTACCCCTACTCTCTATATAACTATATACACTGTACATCGTTGTTCTTGCCACTTTTGCTTGAAATTAAGTGGTTGGTTGTGCTAGCCCTTTAAAATATAAATCTCTCTAAGACTGGAACTGAGTTATATTTATCTTCTTTTTAAATAAAAACACATAGCATTTATTGTTGTCTGGTAATAACAAAAGGGTAATCCAAACAATATGAACAAAAATGTTTGAGGACTATACCCGCAATGAACTGTAACAAACCTAAAAAACACAAACTGTATTGCTTCTTAACAATTTCTCACTTCATTAGTCATTTCCAGTTGGAGACACTTTGGAGGAGAGTAATATTATCTCCTTTCAGCATGATCTGACCTGGTTGTTTTCTTGACTTTGTTTTAGAATGAATCTCTTCTGCATCATCGAATACAAGGTTCATGTATTCATCAAAACCAATGATACAGCGCTCTATTCGCATATTTACTTGCTCATAAAGCCACACCTGAATCCGAGATCTATTTTGCAAGTATCTGAAGATAAGGTCAATGGGCTGAACCATCACCTTCTGCACTTTTTGGCCCTGGCCACGGAACACCATGGTGGAAGCTGACAAAAGACTAACACGCGCACTAACTCAAAGACCTACTCTATATCTTATAACTGTAAAATCCAGCACTGTTTTTAGCAAAAAGTAAGCATTTCATATATAGGGATTTGTTAGATTATCTTTATCCAGATGCATTTTATAATACGAATATTATTCATGTTTTCAAATCAGCAACTGGACTGAAATTCAGATCAACTTCATTATTTTTATTATGATCATCAATAGTGTAAATATCTTACCTTGTGGATTACACACAGTATTTGATTCTTAGCTTGTCATTTGTTTTAAGAATTTCCAAGCTATCCCTGAGAATATTTCTATTACTTTTGAAAACAACACCAACACAATATTTACTCCGTAACTGATCTTGGTAAACTTACTTCTGCTTTGAAGCTCAACTGCTATTTGTCTTTCAAGGTTTTCTCTAATTTCTCTTTCTCTATAGAGCTCCAATCGCAGTTCCTTTTTTTCTTGCTGAATCTGCTTCTCCTGGATGCGAGCATTGTCCAGAGCCACTTTCAGTAGACCCTGTCAAAGTACAGCAAACGGCATGTGGTTCATCTGATCTGTTTTAGCTTGCAAATACGACATAATTAATGGAGGTGCTAATGTCTTGTATTACATTTATTTTGTTTATAGAAATATTGTTGACCTGAATGTTGGTCAACAGAGTTTCCACAGAAGACAGACTGTCAGCGAAAATGAATGGTCCCGGGAATCCAGGAGGCAACGCCTGCCCAGGGGGCAGCTGGATCTTGTCCAATGGAGACTTAATCATTGGGATTTGAACCGGTACCTCTTCTGCAAGAAACAAAAGCAACATCAGAAGATTCACGAATGAATGGCTCAAGATGTTCACTATGTTCCGTTTGCCTCTAATGGTCTCTCTAAAGATTTTGTTCCTAAAACTAAATGAACGACGCTCCTAATTGGAAGTCAAATCTATTCCCTCTAATTTTTAAAAATAAATGTTTCAGAAAAGAATTGGTGAAAGTAAAGGCAATATTTACTGCTTAAAAGTCACAAAATTTGAGGAAACAAATGCAAGGTATATTTGTGAATATCTATAAATTAAATAATCAGAAAACTTCCTGGTCCAGCATAAACTAATTTTTAGTTTTTTTTCTTTTCAAATCTATCAATCATCTATCTATCTAGTCTACCTACCTATCTCTAATCTCTATTAAAATATATTTTAACAACTACATTGAGGGGTAATTGACATAGAACAAATTTACCTATTTTAAACATATGCTTTAATGATTTTTAGTAAATTTACAGAGTTGTGCAACCATCATGATAAATCAGATTTCACAGTTATCATAGTTAGTGGTGGGATTTCTTATGTGGGAAGCTGTGGTATAGAATCTTGGGCACCTTCTGTGAGATAGAACAGCATTATCTGGGAATGAAATGCTCTTAATATAGACCACCTTGACAACTTTCAGTTTTCCAAAATGTATAGTGATAAAAATGCTAAGCAATTATTTTTAGAGAATCAAAATCATTTTCCCTAATTATTTTCATTAAAGCCTCACATTATTCAAGTCCAAACTATTATAAAGAGTATTTGTTCACGTATCTTAAAGAATTCAATATAATGCATACATTAGCCTGTGGACTTTCTTTTAACATGTGAAGCTATAATGAACATGTTCTCAAGAATGTTTTCCTAGTACAACTTAAAAATAACATTTTGATTGTAAGTGTGCGGTGTAGGTTTTCTACAACTTTCTTATTATGAAATTAACCCTAACGTTTTATAGAACTTTTCTCCCTCTCCTCTTCTCCCTCCTTCCCCCTCTCCTTCCATCTTTCTTTCTCTCTACCTTTCTTTCTTTTCCTTTCCCTTCCCTCCCTCCCTCCTTCCTTTCCTTCCTTCCTTCCTTCCTTCCTTCCTTCCTTCCTTCCTTCCTTCCTTCCTCCCTCCCTCCCTCCCTCCCTCCCTCTCTCCCTTCCTTTCCTTCAGAGGAAATGAGCAAATTATCACAAATTCTGTGATCTATTTCAACTACAACATTTGAATACTGGAAATACCTCATTAGAAAAACTAAATCTTAAAATATGTCTTGGGCAATATCTCTAATGTTTCCAAAGTGCATTTCTCAACAACTAACTAAGCAATATGATGTTTTATTTGTATTATTTGAAATCTGTATTTAGCTAGTATTTTGTTTTCTGTACATGAATACATTGAATGGATAAGACGACTTCATAATGCTCTATTAATATTAATAACAACCGAAGAGGTTCTATACCTTTATGTGGATGTTTAAAAATCTTAAACTAAAATTTCATGTAGCCTACAGGTCTATTTTTTAAAAACAAACTGCTGCAAAGTTAGAACATTGACTTCCTCCTGATTCAGAGATAATATAATGCTTTTCCTGAATAAATATTTTGTACCAGTGGCAAAGTTCTTAAATTAATGGGTTCCTTGTTATGTATCGCTCTATATACACACTTAAGTGAGTGGAAACAATCTGGGGCGTATTCTATTAGAAACAAGATACCTGAAAAAGAAAGCGATACTTCAGCATGCATAAAACAAAACGATAACCACATTAAAATGGCCAGGAGTCTTCTACCTGGAGATGAAAGAAATGCCATTAAACTGGCTAAAAGGAAAATCAGTATTGTCTACGAAGACAGGTTGCGTGGTCTGTGGTTTGTACTGCTGTGCAGTAGATTGAAGTTTCAAAACGGTATTACTCTTCTTTAAAGAGACAGGCATGGCTGAATTAGGTGCTGTTTGCTGCAGTGAGGATCAAATGCAAAAAGAATCATATTTCATCAGACCTAGTCAACACCAGGAAAATAAATAGAAATATAAGAGGCATGCGGGCAATGATTCATTTCGAGAATCTCGCCCAGGAGGGACACGTGGAGACAGCACACAGATCCGCCAAAAGACAAATAGGGCACGGAGGGTGGGAACGGGGCCGACAGTGTAGCAGAGGTCGCATCGATTTTCAGCGGCGGTTTTCCCACAGATGAGATAGCCCTGGACTCTCTTTGGCCCATTGTTCAATCCTACCTGTCCCACAAGCAATATATTTCCTAGTCCTAGAAAAGGGCAGTAAAGAAGAAGGATTCTACTTATGACGTCTCATGATTAAGTTTCTGTGATAAGCAAACATGTTTTTTCCAGACCAAGGTCACATTGCATGTGAAGGCCTCTAATAGCCCAAAACTAGGACAAGTGTATTACGCTTGTGTGTATATCAGTGGGAACTGTCAAACCATGTGTCAATTTTTTTTTGCATTGAAATCACATGTTATTAAATGAATGATAAATGCATTAGGAATCTGTTTTAACCTTGTAATAGGTCTTCACATCTGAATGACACCTACACTTTGCTGTTTGAACAGATGCACCATTCTGTGGAAATTTATCAGGTAGGCTTGTGAAATTCTCATTGATAACGGCAGCGAATAAAGGTAAGTACTAGAAACATAGCCAAAGAAGAGCATGTCCTTGTGATCCACGGAGAAAGGGTCTGGACTGAGATTTTTGACTTAAAAGGCTGGAGTTCGAAATGCATGTATTAAAGCCTTCATCAACACATGTGATGCGATGATATAAAAGAAAAGCTAAAAGGATAACTGTTATCCAGCTGAGGACGGGAGCAACTTCTTCTTTCTAGAAGCAAAGTGGGGGCTGCTTATACTGAGCCTGCTAAACCTGCCATGCTCTCGAATAGCACTTGGGCATCCATTTAGAAAACAAGCTCTTGCTGTTAACTTCTTGCTGAAATGTCGACAAGAACATCGTAGGAAAAAGTGAGGCAAACCTATGGCAAACCCTCAGAATGGAAAAGTTCTCCTAAACATCGAAGTCAAAGCTGCTAGAACTTTCCCTATGACCCGAGTGCTTATTTTCTCCCTTTTTCTTGGGTGAAGTCTTTCCTCTTTTCTCTGGGCTTTGAGGATGGTGACTCACTCAGCAGTAAAAAATGCAGCTAGCTACCAAGTCCTTAGTTGGTATTCTTTAACAAATAAATTGTATTTCATTATTTGATTTGCGAGCTTTCCCCTAAATACAGCTCGCCCAAGGGACTCTCCTTTGTTGGCGTCATTAACTTTACATGCTGCACAAGCGAGACACCTGCTTCCCTCTTCCAACAACAAAACAGCCCAGCGCCGTGTAATGATATGACCTGCATGAGTATAAGAAAGTGTTCATGGTGTGAGCTGAACAATGACTCAAGTGTTGCTGCCGTCAAATGTGGAAAAGAAAGACTTGATTCCAAAAGTCTCACATATCTTTAAGGAGACAAAAGAATAAATAGTGCTGCTAAATGAAAATGAAAAGCCAACAGCAGAGGAATGAATGGTCACGAGCCCGAAAATGTGAATAATTGGCGCTCCAGGTCCTTCCGGAGCCTTTAGCAACTAGGCAAAACAAGCTTCTTTGTGAGTGATGAATTAGAAATACATCATCTTTCAGGTAAAATATCATGCTAATAACAGATATTACATCCATGAGAATTTGGAAGAGGTATGATGCCCAGTCCTCGCATCCAGGAGGTGAAACAGTATTTTGGGGAAAAAAGTTGACAAGTTACAGAGGTGTAAAATTCGGGGTGAAATCATACAGCGTGGATAGTTAAGTGTCTCTAACTGTTAAAAGGAGGAGGGAAACTTCCCCAGGATATGAGGTATGCCAACATGAAAATATTCATCGTTCAAATGAGTGTTAAGAAGCTGGATTAAACAACGTTAAAACAGTTTTCCCTAAAGCAAAGCCTGGTGGGGAAACGACAAGATGTCCGGGGAAGTCTGAATTTCACATAAACAGCAAACGATTTTTTAACATACGTATGTCCGAAACATTCCATGGGACATCGTCTTACTAAAAAAAAGACTCTTTGTGTATCTGAATTTGAAATTTTACTGGGTATATTGTTTTCTGTTCTTTTTTTTAACTTTAGCTTTTTCAAATTTTATTTTATATTTAGTTGCTTTTAGACAGAGGGGAAGGGAGGGAGAAAGAGAGGGAGAGAAACATCCATGTG